ATGAGGGCTGAAGTTACCGAAAAGATGGACAAACAGATTAAGGACAACCAAGCAATGAGGGCTGAAGTTACCAAAAAAATAGACAAACAAAACCAGGACTTAAAAGACTTAGCCCTAAAGTTGGACCAACAGAGCGAGTATTGCAGGAGCGCTAATCAGGAACTGCGAGAAGAGCTCATAACCCGCATCGATCAACAAGCTAAGGACAGCCAAGAGATCACCGAACAATTAAAGGACAACCAAGAACGACTTCAAGCGGAACTAAAGAATAGTCAGGACAAATTGAAAGACGAGATTAAAGACAACCAGGACAGACTCAAAGCTGACTTAACCCGTCAACTGAGTGAGCAACGAGAGGAATGCAAGCGAGTTAACCAAGAGTCCGCGGAGAGAAACCGAAAGGCCGTCTTCGAGATGACCAGTCAGCTGAGGACGGGACAGGCCGAACTGCATACTCAGTGGCAGGAATTTCAAACCGAGACGCAGGAGCAGCAGAAGAAATTTGCAGAAGAAATGCACGAGCAGGTCAAGGACCACGGCGAGAGAGTAGCTCAAGTGAAAACCTTCACCGAAGGGATACACGGACAAGTGCAAGAGCAAGGGAAACAGATAACTATCATGAAGGCTTCCTTTGAAAAGAATTTGCAAAAGTTACAGGAAAGGACAAGTAATCTAGAACAAGGACGGCAAGCAAGAAATCAGCCAACCGGGCAAGAGCCATCCAAGGACAGCGTTAGTGAGCGCCCGACTTCTACTCCATTAGTAATCTTGGACCCGTCACCACCGTCATCGGCGACCGCGACTCAAAGTACAGCGGTAGCCGCCCTTAGTCAACAAGTAGTGAGAAGGCCATACTTGGACGGTACCCGCCTAGACGCATTTCACGGAAGAGAGGACGAGAACCTTCAGCTATGGTTGAAGAAATTCTATCTCCATCTTAAACGATGTCAGATCGAGGAAAATACGGAGCCAGCTGTATGGGAGCTCGTGGCTCATCTGAAAGGACCCGCAGAGTCATGGTACTACAGCCTACCCAATGACGTAGCAAGTAGCCTCAAAAGCATGAAGGAAGCACTCCTGAAACGTTACGGTGCCTATGACCGGAAATGGAAGTTATGGCAAGAGATGGATTCTATCAAGCAGATAACCAGTCTCTCTTTTGAACGCTACATAGAGGACGTCAATAATCTGTGCCATCGTGTAGGAGCGGACGAAGAAACTAAACTACGCTGTTTTGTACGTGGCCTGGAACCTAAACTACGTATCGCGGTTGCGTCACGAGAGCCAACTACCTATCAGGAAGCCGAACGAGCGGCTCGCCTCCACGTGGCGCTTCAGAAAGGTGAGGAAAAGCAAACCAGCGAGGGAGGATTCAGCCTTAAGGAAATTGGAGAGAACATAGGACGAGAAATTATGAAGAATCTACAGCCACCTCCTGTCGCTGCGTACTATGGAAATCAGAACGAGGGTTTGCCACACTCACTACAACCTCTTAACTACCAAGCGGGAAGAAATCAAAACCAAGGGCGTCGGGAATGGTCGTCTCAACGTACGCCGCCGTGGTACACCCAAGAMCCATCACACCGGCCGCACGCACCAGTACAMCCATATCCACATGATGTATACCACCCACCAGTGCCACCAGAGCGTGGTCGCGAGTGGTCCAAGGGAGGACAGCCCGAGGGAAATCAATCCAATAAACTCATGAAGGATGTCACCCGTTGCCTAAATGACGTAGCTAAGGCGTTGAATCAGCTCAACGCACCAGCCCAGGCCTCCGTTCCGCGTGCCCGCCGTACTTCCGACGGAAGACCGATCTGTGGCAATTGTAATCAGATCGGACATGTACAAGCCCACTGTAACAGGAGAAATCGCCAATCCGGGAATAGTAACAATGGTGGTAATCGTTCCGGACGTGTCGCAGCCATTACCGATAGTGCTGCAGAAGAAGACGATTCGGTCGCTTGTATACGAGGGGAGAGCAAAGACGAACCAGATACGCAGATCTTAACTACAGCCGAGCAAGTAACTCCAATCGCCACAGAAACAGACCAATCAGAGGARTTACTATGCGCTATGGACCCCATTGCGGTATCACCTGATCTGTTCGTGGAAGGGACTGTGGGTTCCCGCGCTGTACAGCTATTGGTTGATACTGGAGCTAAGATATCAGTCATGGACCATGCGTTTCTTATGCAACTCCCCTACGAGTATAGGAAATTACTCAACGAAGAGAATGCACGAGCTGTCAAAACCGTCAGCGGTCAACGATTGTCAATCGTGGGCGTTGTAAAGCTACCGATAGTCATCCAAGGACACTCCTACGATGTAAACCTGAATGTTCTAGAGAAAGTAGAGTTTGACATTGTGTTAGGAAGAGATTTTCTAGCCGCCAACAAAGCTGTTATTGACATGGCTAACCACACAATCCAACTTGCTCCAGAAATAAACACCTGGATGCCACATACRGGTAAAATACGAGCCAGAAAAACAACGATTGTACCTCCACATTCCGAAGTACTTATACCCGCTAAACTAATAGAACAACTGGGACGAGAAATCACKGGAGTTATCGAAGGACATCCAAGACTAGTAGAACGTTATCAGTTACGTGGTGCTGTTGCCATGGTGAACGTGACCCCTGCTGGTGACACTATGTTCCGCCTCATGAATCCTACCAGTGAACCAAAGACTATTTACAGAGAAACSACACTYGGCGAATTTACCGAAGTTTTGAGCGAAGGACAACCAGAGGCCTTAGTGAATGATCACAACGAGAAGAAAGAAGCAGATTTGTCTAACTTACCAGTACCCCTGGATTTAAAAGATGTACATCTTGACGACGAGCAAGCGCAGCAACTACACAACTTCTTACAAAGTTATCGCAAAGCGTTTGCACTAGGACCCAGTGAAATGGGAAAAACSGATATCATMCGTCACCATATAAACACTGGAGATAATCCGCCCATCCGATTGAGGCCATATCGYGTTGCTGAYCGTCAAAAAGAAGAAATTGACAAGCAAGTTAAAGACATGTACGAGCGAGGAGTCATACAGCCGTCTGTCTCRCCTTGGGCCGCCCCTGTAGTGCTTGTACAGAAACCTGACAAGACTTACCGATTCTGCGTGGATTACCGCAAGCTGAACCAKGCWAGCAAGAAAGATGCCTATCCCYTACCGAGGATTGAACAAGCCTTAACGTCGCTTAGTGGAGCAAAATACTTCACCACKCTTGATCTCATGTCAGGATATCATCAAGTTGCCATGGCACCAGATTCTACCGAAAAGACGGCCTTCGTAACCAGC